TGGAAAATCATGCAAGTCTTCTATTCTTCTTACTACTATATCTGATAATGCTCCTGAATATGTTAATGCATCTTTAACAACTATAATGACACATTTATCTGAATCATCCATGTCCAATTCACAAGTCATTTTCAAACCATCTGTCTCTGCCCCATTATTCTCATCCATTTCAATAGCTACTACCAATTTGAACAAATATACATTAGAATCATCAAATGAAATACCACCATTCCAAACACTGTTTCAATTTGCATTCACAAATTAAAACTCAAACATAAATGAATCTATCACTAGTCCATTTGATTCTCACCCAGCACCCATACAAATCACTATATCTACTGCACCCTCTGATACTTTTTCACCCGAACCTTTTGTTATACCAGTTTCTGAACAATATACCTTTTCCGATCTTGATGATCTGTCTGAACTACCATTTGAAACCATCAACTTTGAAGTTATTCCTTCTCAACTTGAACGTGCAATAATCATCTATGAACAACCCTTTCCCAAAACCCTTGAAGAATGCATTAACATGTTTAAAAGCAAGGTTAGGAATAAAGTAGCTAAGCTACAAGATGAAGTATGTACCATTTGTAAACCTCTGGATTTGAAAAATTCCTGGAAGGTGTTTCAAAAATGGATGTCATCAAAATTTGAAAAAAACTGCAAAGTTTTTCAGAGGCTACGATGGATGCATAAGTTCAACTGGTCCAGGACAGGGTGGAACGACTTTAAGCTTTTCAACTGCTTGCTGCTAAGCAAAGAGAAGCTGAAGAAAAAGCTCGCCTTGCTGAAGTTGAAGCAGTAAGACTGAAAGCAGAAGAAGAAGCTAAAGCTGCAGAAGAAGCCAGACTGGCTGCAGAAGCTACAAAGGCTGCTGAAGAAAAAGGAAAGCAACATGATCTAATGGTATCCAACTCTGAGTCTGACTGCCATGTAAAAACAACCATTAATGAAATAAAGGAAGAACATAGAATGTTCAGAGAACACTTCAAATCTCATGACAAGGTCAATGAATCTGTTCAAACTATGCTCAAGATGATTTTGGAAAATCTTTCTGAACCTGCATCATCTGCTCGTCCAACTTCTGGAAACTAGGAAATAGGATTCTCGTTTAGATTCCTTGTTTACATCTGCCGTTTTTGGATAAATTATCCTCATAATTAATTGACATATTATCTCAATCTTTTTAAAATCTTTTCTGTTTTTCCACATAATTATATTTTTGATGATAACAAAAAGGGGGATAAGTATAATAATATCTGATCTATTGGAACCAGGGGAGTTTTACTCTAATGGTTCAGAGTCAGGTTATTTGATCTTCATCAATTCATTAACTCGGGGGGAGTGTCAGAAAAAGGATAAGTATTTCTTACTCTTCTAATTTCACTGATTATTATTATATGTACAAAATTGTGTCATCAAAATACATAGTTTTGTCATCATCAAAAAGGGGGAGATTGTAAGAATAAGATTTGGTTATGTAATATTACCTATGAGTTTTGATGATAACAAATGAGTATGATTGTATGAACAATTCTGTTATACTAATGTTTGTTATTGTTGAGTACTTAACAAACATGTCCTGCTTCTGATGAATGGCGTGGCCAAGATATTAGAAGAGAATTGATTCTGCTTCTATGCTACATAAGTTCTGTTGAACAGTAGCAAGACACTCTAGAAGGCTCTGAAGTGTAATCCCTGATATTTATTTGAAGAAACCAGTCAAAAGATCTGAAGACAAAAGTTGTTACTTATGTCCAGATGCTGAAGACTAAAGCTTCTAAAGACAACATGTTCTAGGGAAACTAGTCAGAAGATCTGAAGACAGAAGTTGTTACTTACGTCCAGATGCTGAAGACTCGTGTTTCTAAAAGATAATGTGTTTCAAGAAACAAAGTTAAAAGATATGAAGACAATGTTTCTAACTGAAGTCTAGATGCTGGAGACTTTGTGTTTCTAGTAACAAGGTTTTGAAGATAAGGATTCTTAAAGAACTAAGTGCTAAAGATTCTAAGACAAAAGATCTGAAGATTCCAAAGACTTGAAGTTCTAAAGGGACAAGGTTATCTACAAACATGTTCTGAAGACCAAGTAATGAAGACTCTAAAGACGCAATTCTTAAGACTCTGAAGACTTGAAACTCTTATGATATAAAGGTTCTCTACAATGGGTTCTCACGACCAAGTGTTGAAGACTCTAAAGACGCAGTTCTGGAGACTCTGAAGACTTGAAGTTTTGAAGACCTTATGTTATATTCCCGCTTCTAATATCATGCTCTTAGGAGCCTCTGAAGTTCATAAGAAAAGGATATAACAGTAACACAATATAATAATACAAAGTAGGAAAAACTTTATGCCACTATCTCTCCACTAACTTAAAGTGAGGAAGAGATAAGAACGTCATAATACTATTTGTAACAACTCTTTTTCAAATAGCCAACGACTATATTTTACTTGGCTATATAAGAAAATAATCGTATGGTTAAAATAGTTGGTTGGTGTGTTGGTTGATTGGTTAGCTGGTTGCTTAACACATGATTCCAACTGAGCTAAACGTTGATGAGCATGCCATAAGCTGCTTGGCTGGGTGCTAAAAGCTACAAGTTATAAGTCACAAGTTGTTGATGTTCAAAAGAAAAACTGTCATTATTAGAACACAACCAAAACAAAGTTATCATGCACTATAACAACAACCAGAACAACTGCTATCAAATGAATCTTCAATCATGTTGATACTGATTATAATGAAATCATAGATTCATAATGTGCTTAATCTCATTTGCTGCACAAATCTTGCTAAGCTGCAGAAGATAACAAATATGATCATGAAAGCTCCAGTTACATATCCACAACATAAATATTGTACTCTAAGGTGATCATCGAAGAAAGTAGAACAAGGGTTGTTGTTCAGAATGTTCTAAAGTGAATCTATATGAAGAAGTTCTTCTCTTTACTACATCAAGATCAACAAAGCTTTCGGAAGCTTATGAAAAATAAGACTTCAATAATTCTAGTGCTTTGAGCTGTTGTTCATGAAGATGCTACTTGGAGAAAAGAAGACCACACATTGAAGTTACAATAAAATGTAATATCTTTTAGTCACCAGCGATTTCCCGTGAGATTGTAATCGAATTGATTATAGTGGATTAAGTCTTTGAGTTCAAGGTGAAATCACCTCGGAAAGGTGGACTGGATTAGCTTGGGGGTTTCTCAAGTGAACCAGGATATATTGCGTGTTCTTTACTTTTGTTTATGCTTTAGAGTTTACGTTTTCTGAACCAAATTAGAAGCAACAGTCAGAAGCAATGTTCAACGAATAATGCTTAGAAGCGAAAGTTTTATAAGAAAGGAAAATCCAATTCAAACCCCCCTTTCTTGCGTTTTCTTCACACCTTTAAGAGGTTCGTAGAGAAGTGCCTTATTTTGCGTAGATTGAGTCTGTGTCAGCTCTGATACCTAACACTTGGAGGGTTTTGCGCTTGTTTTATTATTATGTGAGTAAACTATTGTAGAACTCCATTTGTTGGATTTAATTGATGTTTTACGTTGAATTTTGAATTATGATGACTATCACTCACGTTGAGAATAATTACTAGTGATGTTTTCCGATGCGAATAAATGAAACAAAGTTCAGACATGATGAATACGTGACTATGTGTTGTGTATCTTTTTATATCAGCATGTATGATGTACGAAGATGTGGCGTCCTATTCTTGATGTTTTATTTTATGAATTAATTTACTCTGATTTTTGGTTAAATTATCAACGGAGAATTATGGTGATTTATAGAGATATAGATGCCATGTATGATGATTATCTTAATTGTCTTGTACCAGGTGACACAAAAGGTATCCTAGCTCCTAACGACTGAAGTCGTACATACAACTACATCTACTGATATTTCTGGGTGTCACATTCTTATATGACACATGATACTATAGAAGATACACCTAAGCTAACTTATCAAAATGATATTAGAGGGAGAGCGTGTTAAGGTAAATCATGTTGTTGATGTGTTGCCTAGATGTCGATGTATCATTGATCTTGCACAGACGGATATATACATAAGATTCTTTTTGAAAGTCTATGATGTGAGAGACATTGTAGTTCTCATCCTTACTGAGGCACAATGGACATTGTAGTACATGAGATAACATAGGAACAAGAGGGGGCCAACATATACAATAGTACATTATTTATATTTGGAGCATTATTGTCGTTCATAATTTGTTTTGACTTTATTATGTATTTCAGATTTATTCATTTATATATGGACTTTTCATATCATTTGATAAGTGTATGGTTTAATTTATATAAAATTTAATATGATAATATAACTATAATACATAATCTATCACATCTGTGTATCTCTAAAACAATCTGCGTATCTCTAAAACAAAGTCAAAATTTACTATTTAGGATAAATACTAAAGTGCATCTTCTTATTTTGTGTAGGATGAATACAAAGATGCATTTCATGAATAATTTATCTCAAAATAAATATCTCAGAAATACATGAGACGCGTTATGAAAGTGTATCTTTAAATTAAATTTTTGAAAAAAAAGATGAATTTCATTTAAGATTTGTTTTGTTGTAAAAATGGCGAGTTTGAAAAAAAAATCTAAAAAATATTTCACCATCATTTAAGATGAAAGAAGCAATCCCTCCACCATAATATGTTTTTTTTCCTTCTAATTAAACTCTTATTATTATGTATATAGAACCGACTGATTTACAAAAATTCTTAAAAAGTTCCAAATTATCTAAATCATATAATGTAAAGGATGAACATTTTTCATGTTAGTTATTTTTTTAATTGAATAAAACCCTCTTAGTCTTTAGTTACCCGTTTTTGTTTGTTTTTGTTTTTACAATCGCAATTACGGCTTATATCAGATAAACTATACCCAACAGTTTTCAACTAGTACTTGCCAATGTAAAAAGACACCACAACTCATTTCTCACCATTTCCTTATCCCCTTCTCTGCAATCTAATCATGCATTTCCCGGTACCAGCACTCCAACCCTCAGCCCTCAGCAACGGAACACTCTTTCTGATTCTCCCATTTTCACATTCATATTCACATTCCTCCACTTCTTCCCATCCTTCAGCATTGAGCATTGGAGCTACTAGAAGCATGCTTCCGAGGGTTCATGTTACCGGAGGAGTCAGATTCGACGGAACACTACCACTAAACGACGACGTTCTAGATTACGAACTTGTTTTCGAGCACTGCGTCACGCGGACTCTTCCTCCCGCGCTTACATTGGAAGAAGCTCTTCACAAATTCAAAGACGCTCTCGAAATCTTGAAGCTCTCACCGCCAACTAGTTCAACTGGATTCCTTAGGTTTCAGGTATCTCCTCCAATTCATTCCTCAATGTCGTACCTAAACTGTACTTTTCTTCTTCTTCTTCTTCTTAGCCAAATAACGAAATCAATATTCTATGTAGCACAAACAGCTCTGAAAAAGTTATATCAGTCTCAGAAACCAACACCGACATTTGAGATTACATTTAATTTATTCATTTTTCTCAAATTATTACCGGTTATCAACGTGTCAAACGATCGTGTTTCCGGTGTCCCTGCTTCAAAGTTAATATTCTATAGTATGCAAAGCAGAGCTGAAAGTTAGGGGGAAATGTTAAAACGATGGTGTTATATGGATGTGTGTGTTTGATTGTTTAGGTGATTGTGCCTCCGAGTCCTAAGGCGTTGAGTTGGTTTTGCTGTCAACCGGAGTCATCTGCAGTGTTTCCTCTGATTTTTGTTTCCAAAAACATGGATAACCCCACATGTAAGTCACTTTATGTGAATGGAAGCCACGGAGTTTTTGGCATTGGTGCTGCGGTTTCGTTTGTCCATTCTTCCCGAGGAAACAAGAGTTTGATCAAAAGGTCAGTTACTTCAACCAAATTTATGTTCCTTTTGGTTCTGTAAGTTAATATTTATTGACTGTTTGTGAATGTTTAGGGGACTCGTTGCTGTAAGAATTAGAATGTGAGTGGAGGGCATAACAGTAAGATAATGTTTTGTTGAGGCAAAATCGGGGAGTGAAGGGATTATTTTAAATCTTTCTTGTTTGGTTTCTTTTTGGAGGGGATAAGATCCTAACTCGGTTTTGGATCCTCTTGTAAATTGGAGGATTTGGAGGCGAGAGAAGGTGAGTTTATAAAATCTTAACTGCATTGACTGAAATATCTTACTTTTAATGTCACATGAAATATTTAAAAGGTGTAAAAAGTAAATTAACATATCTCCTCCATTTAAAATTCTCCCCCTTCTTTAGTGAAGCAAACAAAAGAGCGTTGGTTATTTCCGCTCCCCTCTTATCCTTATCCTTTGAACAAAAAAGACACTAAGAAGGGTTTTGAGTGGGTGTGAGAAAAAAATGAAGATATTAGTCTCTAGAAACTTCTGATTTGTTTCTCATGAAAGCATAGTTAAAGATACATCCCAGGTTAGTTTCATTAGTTAAAACTGACCATTAAAAATCAGCAACGGATGGAAATGCATAGGTGCTGTTCATTGAGGCATAAACCCTGGCATGGTCTGGGCGATCAAGGGACGAGGGGAAGTATAAAATGAAATGGATCATAACAGAACTTGAGTTTGTGTTCATGCTGTATGTATCAGTGGGTCGTGCAAATATTTATCTGTTTAAAGGTGTCAGTGGGTCGTGCCAACATTTATCTGTTTAAAGGTGCCATGGAACTTCATTTATAAGTTAATTGTGATGTTATCTGGTTATACTTGGAATTTACCTATTTTTAACTAACCAAAGAATGAACTTATTTCTACAGATACATCTCAACTGATTCAGCCAATATAGTAGCTTATGGTTTCATGGATATTAATTTAGATAATGATTCAGTTTCCATGAATCACGAGGATGGTTGTTTTAGCTTTTTCATCCCCCAGGTATAAGTTTACTGGTATTATAATAGCCATTATATTAGTGTAAATTGTTGACTGTATATTATTTTGTTCTTCCTGTTGCATTTCTTTCCATTAAATATTTACCATGAATTCTTATTATCCCTACAGTTATAATATTGTTTGATGGTCTCATAATTAACATTTAAACTTTAATTTTTGTCGTGACAGATTGAGTTAGATGAGATGCAAAGTGTTTCTATTTTGACAATGACGCTTGCATGGGATAACTTTTCCCTTTCTAATTTTGGAAAAGCTCTTCATTTGCTTGAAGTTTCTCTAAACCAGGTGCTTGCAGTGCTTTCGTTATAAATTTTAGTTTGTGTTTGATTTATTTTTCTATACCAGTGTTACAGGTTATTGATAGGTAACAGTAACACCATTAGTTATTTAGTGGGTTACTGAGAGTTAGTTAGAAAGTATGAGATGGTATGTTATATATAAATAACAGAAAGGAGAGATTATAGAGGTTACCTTTTGTTTTGGAATGCATCATTTTGTAGTTGATTCCATCCATGTAAATTAGGTATTTACATAATTTACTCATAATTAGTTTTATTGAGTTATGGTGAACTACAGAGAGTAAGTATGTCTTAATATAGGAGCTTGTACGTGTGCATGACATTATTTTTCATTTGGTGTAGGTCATATGTCATGTCTGGTCTCCTTCGGGCGCGGGTAATTCCAAATGTGTAAGAGCTGCCCTCAGAAACCTCAGTCTGATAGAAGATAGATCTATTCCAAGGGTATAAGCTCATTTCTTTCATAATATGTAAGTTTTACTTGAAACAACCAGTTAATATTTTGTTTATCATGTTAATCTTCTGGATTTTATTTGTTAAAATGCTAATGCTTAGAAGCCATTTTCTTAATCTTTGTATTTTTTGTTTGCAAAAATTTGATTATTGACTATTTCAGTGGTAAGGTATTTATATATTTTGGAATAAAAGTAAAGTCAGATAATTATTATTATTTTGCCAAGGGCATCCCGCATCCATGTCCGCTCTATCAAAAGTGTTGTGATTTTTGTAGAGTAGTTCTATTCCTCTATATATCCTTCTTTTCATTCAGTTTTTGCAGAATTGGAATGTTGTGCACCAATATATTTGGATGGTTCTCTGGTTCAAGTAGTTTTTACAGTAACAAAAATTTATGGATCCACAAGCTAGCTGTTTGTTGCCTACTGCTGAGCTATGAAGCTCAAATACTCCAAATTTGCTAAAGTATTAGTGTTGTACTCGTTTCTTTTTATGGCATATGTTTAATTGTTGAAGTTTTGGATTTTAAATAAAAGTACGAGAGAAATAATAAGAACTACGAATTTTATTGTTAATAACTTGACATTGACATGATATAGAAGACTAAACACTGTTATTTATAAGGATACAAGACTCTTAATCCTAAATAAATAGAAAAGTTAGGAAATAAATCATGAATATAACCAAGTAATCTAGAAATTGATCCCAGCAAATAAATCATGAATATAACCAAGTAATCTAGAAATCGGTCCCAACAAATAAATTATGATACTCTAAAATGTCTGATATTTCATATATTCTACAATAATAGTTCAGAAGAATTTATTGATTGATACTTTGGGTATTACTTCAATACAATTGGGATATATCTCCAGAGGCTTACCTTAAATCATCTTGTACAGCCTTGGTTTTATCATGCTGTGAGTGGAATTTGACTATTGGAGTACATACTACTCTTTCATTCATTCTTTGAAGAGAAACAAAGCTAATACAAAAAAGGTAGAAAATTCTATTTATGTGTGTTGAATTAAAAGAGACTGAGAGACATTTAGGTTAAACCGTGTGTTTTGAAAAACACTACGGAGACTTTATTATATATAGAGAGATTACAACTAATGCTATGATATAGCCGATGTGAGACTATTCTACATACACATATTCTTAACACTATATATATATATATATATATATATATATATATATATATATATATATATATATATATATATATATATATATATATATATATATATATATATATATATATATATATATATATATATATATATATATATATATATATATATATATATATATATATATATATATATATATATATATAACAAATATCAACACTTTCCCTCAAGCTGGAGCATATAAGTCAAATGCACCAAGCTTGCCACATATATAATTAATTCTAGGACTTCGCAGAGATTTTGTAAACACATCTGCCAATTGATCATTAGAGTTGACAAAGCTTGTGACAATGTCGCCAGATTCAATCTTCTCTCTGACAAAGTGACAGTCTATCTCAATATGTTTGGTCCTCTTATGAAAGATTGGATTTGAAGCAATGCGCAATACAACTTGATTATCACATACAAGTGTCATTGGTCTTGCTTCTTCAATTTGATGTTCTTTGAACAATTGTTTTAACCAAATCAGTTCACATGTTGCCATTGCCATGACCCTATACTCTGCCTCGACGCTTGATCTTGCAATCACATTTTGTTTCTTACTTTTCCAGGATATAAGGTTTCCTCCAACAAGTACTCAATATCCAGAGGTGGATCGTCTATCAATTGGTGATCCTGCCCAATCAGCATTGGAGTATCCAACTATCTGAGTATGTCCTTTATCTTCATACACCAAACCTTTTCCTGGAGCACATTTGATGTATCTCAGAATCCGGATAACAGCATCCATGTGTTCCGAGAATTTAAGAACTGACTTACCACACTGACTGCAAAAGAGATGTCTGGACGAGTGACTGTGAGATAATTCAAATTTTCAACCAATCTCCTATATCTTCCCGAGTCTGATAAAGGCTCCCCCTGATTGAGTAGTAGTTTGACACTTGGATCCATAGGAGTATCATCTGGTTTAGCGTTCAACAAACATGTTTCTTCCAAAATATCCATAGCATATTTCCGCTGAGAAATCACCAAACCATCTTTAGGTTGAGCTACCTCAATACCCAAGAAACATCGAAGTTACTTGGTTGGACTCGAAATATGGAACAGACTCGAAGAAGGTGGCATCGGTTGACATGAGGTATCGTCGTAGGGTATGTGAATAGCAACGATAACCTTTTTGGGATCGATGATAACCAAGAAAAACACACTTTAGTGATCGAGCTGATAGTTTATCAAGACCAGGAGAGAGATTGTGTATAAAACATGTAGACCCGAAGACTCGGGGAGGAATTGGGTGAAGGGGGGAATGGGGAAAAAGGATTTAATGAGGGATTTTATTGTTAAGGATAGATGATGGCATGCGATTTATAAGGTAACACGCCGTTAGCACAACGTCTCCCCAAAACCGAAGTGGAACATTACCATGGAGAAGTAGGGTCCGAGTGGTTTCTACAAGATGTCGATTTTTGCGTTCGGCTATCCCGTTTTGTTGAGGTGTATGAGGGCAAGATGTTTGGTTGAGAATACCATTATTGGACATAAAAGTTTGAAATTGTTGGGATAAATATTCACAAGCATTATCACTTCTTAAGGTACGAATAGACACACCAAACTGAGTTTTTATTTCTTTATAAAAATTTTCAAAAATAGAAAATAATTCAAGAGTAGAGATAGTACGTGAGGGACCCCAAACATCGGAGTGAACTAAAGCAAAAGGAGACGAAACTCGTTTATTGACTCGATTGAGAAATTGACTACGAGTGTGTTTCCCTAACTGACACGACTCACAATGTAAATTAGATACTTTCGATAAACTTGACACCAACTTCTATAATTTGGGAAGACTAGGATGACCTAACTGAGCATGGATTGTGAGTGGAGAATCTTTGGCTGAGCATGTCTGAGATGACACTGAGAGGTAATAAAGGCCTTGAGACTCATATCCGATGCCATTTGTCCGTCCCGAACTCCGATCCTGCAGTGTGACATTACTATTAGTGAAGGTGACAATACAATCAAGGGAACGAGTTAAACGACTGACTGAAAGTAAATTAAATGGACAATTAGGTACATAGAGAACATAAGTAACAAAGAGAGAAGGTAGAATTTGAACAGTACCAATTCCTTCAGATCGGGTTTGAGAACCATTGGCAGAAGTCATAGTAGGTAAGAAACCAGAGGTAGAGAGGGAAGAGAAAAGATTTTTATTACCAGTAACATGATCAGACGCACCAGAATCAAGGACCCAAGGTCCAAGAGTAGATGATTGAGAGAAGCAAACAGATGAATTACCAGTGTGTGCAACCGAAGCAGTAGAATCCAAGTTTTGATAATTTTGATACCACATGAGGAAATCATCGTAGTTTGGCGTAAAGTTCTAAGGAGTAGTCATGAGTATCGGCCGGATCGAAGGAGGTGCTTTTGCCGGTAGGGGTTAGTTTGCCGGAATTAGTAGCGGCGGATGGCGGCAGCAGTCCGGTGGTTACCGGAGAATTTTGAAAAGTGAGAGGCAAACCGAAGTGATGACATGGTTTGCAAAAGTAAAAAATAAAATAAAAAAAATTTGTCACCTAAAGACAGTGGGTCAACCGGGTAAAGTACGGCAAAAAATTGCCTCTTAGTAGGCTCTAGATACCATGTTGAATTAAAAGAGATTAAGAGACATTTAGGTTAAACCGTGTATATTGAAAAACACTACGGAGACTATATATATCAACAATTTGCATGACAGTCTTTGACTTTTATCTAGACAATAAATTGGGATAATATTCAAAGTGTACATGATTCACTTGATAATGGTCGTTGGGTTTTCTAATTGATAGAGTTGACTCTCAATGATGAGAACAGGGAATAGGAAAATGAGACAATTGGCATTAGATAGTAGTAGGCAATTTAATAGAGCAAAGACTTCTCTTAAATTGGACTAATGATACTGTGACATTCTAACAATAAATGGGGAAACATATTGTACCTTGTCGTATTGAGCAACTGGTATTTGTAACTTCTAATTCTGCTGACTTCATTGCTTGCTGCCTGATTTAAATGAATTGCTAGGTCTACATGAACACTGTTGCACTGGGAGGAAGGGAAAGTGTGAGCGACATCATGGAACTGGTATCATATCTTTCTTGTATTTTGGATGTGCATATGTTTTTGTTGTCTTCTTGATGATGAACACTTTTAATTTTGATCATGTCTATTGCAGAAAGAGTCTCCATCTTCTAGTCAATTCTTTGCCAGGCTTTCAGCAACCCTCACTGTTTCAAATAACATGGTACTTATGTTTAACTTGATTCTTTAACTAAAACTATAGCATCCGCTAAGAAGCATGCAGCTTTGCACTTTCTCTTGATAAAAATTATGTTTATTAATGATGTGTTGGATTTATTTTTTATTCTGTCATGAAGTGGATTGCGGATTTGTCGTAATAACAAAATAATGACTACATTTTCTGAAGTTTATCCGTGTAATGTCTCCCTTTTATTATCAGTTTGATCAGGCCACCGAATTTTCGCACTCACTGAACGAAAGTGCCAATATCAATGCTGTTTGGGCATCACTTTTAGTTGAAGAATGTGCAAGACTTGGTTTGACGGTGAGATGATGATAAATAATTATAAATTGGCTGTTCCCCTTAAATGCAATATTCTGATTTATTCTTTTTCCAGTATTTTTGTGTTGCACCTGGTTCTAGATCTTCCCCACTTGCTGTTGCTGCTGCAAGCCACCCATTAGTTACTTGTATTTCGTGCTTTGATGAGCGTTCACTTGCATTTCATGCTGTTGGATATGGAAGAGGTTGTCACATTCCCGCAGTAGTCATAACATCATCAGGCACTGCAGTATCAAACCTTTTTCCAGCTGTGAGTTCCATTATATTGATTTTTCAGTTGACAGATTTGCCTAACATTTTGAATGCATAATAATTTTGTTGAATAATGAGAGAACAAGAGGAAGGTTGGATTGAATCCGTGTGTTTGAATTACACATCGGAGCTCATTATATATAATAGGAGGCATAAATGCCATAGTAATTACATAATATTCTATAATAATTACATAATATTTTATTTCCTATTTACATGATATCCTAATTACTTACAGAATATTCTATTTACATAATATGGAATATTTCGATATCTAACACTCCCCCTCAAGCTGGAGCATATATATCATATGCACCAAGCTTGTTACAAATATAATTAACTCGAGGACCTCTCAAAGGCTTAGTGAAAACGTCAGCTAACTGATCATTTGAATTGACAAAACTAGTGCTGACATCTCTAGATAAAATCTTCTCTCTGATGAAATGACAATCAATCTCAATGTGTTTGGTTCTCTCATGGAACACTGGATTTGATGCAATATGCAGAGCTGCCTGATTGTCACAAATAAGTGTCATTTGTGAAACATCCCCGAATCTCAGGTCGTGAAGCAATTGTTTAAGCCATATAAGCTCACAGGTTGTTGCCATGACTCGATATTCTGCTTCCGCACTTGACCTTGCCACTACACTTTGTTTCTTACTCTTCCAGGAAATTAAGTTACCACCCAAGAAAACACAATAACCTGAGGTGGATCTCCTATCAAAAGGAGAACCTGCCCAATCTGCATCTGAGTATCCTACAACTCGAGTGTGTCCCTTGTCTTCATAGAGTAAGCGTTTTCCTGGAGCTCCTTTAATATATTTCAAGATGCGAATCACAGCTTCCCAATGCCCTTCACAAGGAGAGTTAAGAAATTGACTTACCACACTAACAGGAAGTGAAATATCTGGGCGAGTAACAGTGAGGTAATTCAGTTTTCCAACTAATCTTCTATATTTTCCAGGATCGGAGAGTGGCTCCCCCTGAGCTGGCATAAGTTTAGCATTGGGATCCATCGGAGTGTCAACTGGCTTGGAATTTAACAGACCTGTCTCCTCCAAAATATCCATAGCATACTTCCTTTGTGAAATCACAATCTCCCGTTTGGATTGGGCAATCTCTATGCCTAAGAAATAACGAAGTCTGCCGAGGTCTTTTGTCTGGAAATGATGACAAAGGTGTTGTTTTACCTGTGTGATTCCATGATGATCATTACCTGTAATGACAATGTCGTCCACATACACAATTAAGTAAATACACCCAACAACTGAGTGACGATAAAACACTGAATGATCAGCTTCACATCGCGTCATACCAAACTCTTGAATAACAATGCTAAATCTCTCAAACCAAGCCCTAGGAGATTGCATAAGTCCATACAAAGACTTATGAAGACGACAAACTAGTCCAGAAGACTCCCCCTGAGCAACAAACCCAGGAGGTTGCTCCATATAAACTTCCTCACACAAATTTATTAAATCTAATGATTCAATTTGCTGTCATTCTTTGAGCTACCACAAATAGTTGTTATCGAGATGGGCAAATATTTACTGAATTGCTTGAGAAATCCCTCAGTATAAAAGATTTACAATTTAATGTTGGGAACTATATTATTAAGAAAAAGTAGGGAGACATATTTTATCAAAGCTATAAAAACAAATATATATGGCATTAAATAGGAGACACTTTCCAACACCTGTTATAAACTTTATCATACTAATATTTTTGGGAAGGAGCAGATTTTATTTTTCTAGGATTTGATCAATTGGTTGCTTTTTTTGATTTTTTTTCCACTTAGTTTTTACATTTTCCAGAAATATGTAAATAAGTTCATTATGAGATGATTCTATGCAAATATGGTAATAAGGGTGTTGAGATCCCATATCAACTTGAGATATAGGCAAAGTAGTCCTTATAGGGATTGGGCAATCCTCACCTCTTGAGCTAGCTTTTGATGTTGAGTTAGGTTTATGTTGTCAATAACCACCACAGCAGCCTCTATTGGGTTGTTGTATGACGTTGCGATCCCTAGGCTCTATGTGTGACCGCATAGCATTGTGTTTTGATTAGCCGACACAGCACTGCAAATAGTGGCAGTAGCAGCCTCTACAGTGAAGTCCGTGTGAAAACCTATTATGCCCCAGTGTTATCAAATAGCGGCGCCATGGCGGATATACATGGCGGTTTTTGGGTTCGCCGCAATGGTAAATATCGGCCAATATTGTGGGTTTTTCAGCCATAATCCGCTATAATGCCACCGCCAAACAACACTGTTTTGCCCTCAATTTCAGACACACGGATTCCATAACATGTCTCTCATGAGTATGATCATCTCTTTTTCTTCTCATCTACCTCTACTTTCATCAACTTTAATTGTAATATTCATTCATCTGAGGGGTATGTCACTCAAAATAGTTACAAATATTATTTTGACCATTTAGTAATAAAATGGTCAGGTTGTAGAATCAAGTCAAGATTTTGTGCCGCTTATTTTACTTACAGCAGACCGACCTCCAGAGCTGCTGGATTGTGGGGCAAACCAAGCAATTGATCAGGTTAGTTGATCAGGTTAGAGTCATTGATGTTCTGATATATTGTGGTTCATTGCATGAGTATATTAATATATTATTTGGTTTGCCGGTGGTTCTACTTATATACGATGCTGAACTAGGGGGTCAAGGGAGAGGAAAAACCTCCAACATGAATTTATTTTCTCAAACCGGGATAAATTTGCATCAGTTTTTACTTTTCTATAATTTATATTTCAAAGTGGTTTCTGGAATGCTTTTTCTTCCAGGAAGTGAAATGCACTTCTCTGCTTGTTCAACATAGATTGAAGATAGATGATAAACGCATCTGAAATAACTTGTGGCTTTAACCTCAACTCATAGTAGTTTTTTGATATAATTTCTCAGTTATTAATGTGGATGTCTTCTTATGTTTCACTTTTCTTCTTGGTTTGTGTTAAGAGATTTATTATACAAAAACTATTCATCTGTCTGTTTGCATCCAGTAGCTTAAGCTTTTGCTCTAGTGGTTCATGACATGGTATCAGGGCTTCTATGACCAACTAATCCAGAACTGATCCTTGGCAATTCTGTACTTCCAATAAAAAGTTGAATATCAGCACATGGTTACTTGTCAATTGTTCAATGCTTCAACTACAAAGGACTCTTATATGAGGGGTCATGTTAGATACATAATATAAAAGCCATACATGTGTGACCTTAATGGCTTAAACTTTTGGGATATATAGTTTATAACAGTTTGAACCGAATAGTATCTATTGGCTTATTTATTTGGAGGGTTAGAAAAAAGGAAATGTTCATGCAGTTTTTTGGAGAATATATTCATGGTTTCCTTGTTACTCAAGCCATGTAGTGAATTTCTGTACCAGGTGAACCATTTTGGTTCTTTTGTGAGATTTTTCTTTAATCTCCCTGCACCCACAGATCGAATTCCTGCAAAGATAGTACTTACTACTCTTGATTCTGCTGTACATCGGGCAACTTCTTCTCCGTGTGGTCCCGTGCATATTAACTGCCCTTTCAGAGAGCCTTTGGAAAGCAGTCCCCTCAGATGGTTGTCAAGTTGTTTAAAGGGATTAGACTTTTGGATGACTAATTCTGACCCATTTACCAAGTATATTCATATGCAATTGTCTCATACATGTATAAATGCTTCTGGAGAAATGATTGAAGTTTTAAATCTGATTCAAAGAGCCAAAAATGGTCTCTTACTATTTGGCGCAATCCATTCAGAGGATGAGATGTGGGCTGCTCTGCTTTTGGCTAAACACCTTCAGTGGCCTGTTGTAGCAGATATCTTGTCAGGGCTGCGGTTGAGAAAGCTACTAAGCTCCTTTTCTGAAATTGAAAGAAATTTTATATTTGTTGATAATCTTGATCATGCTCTTCTTTCAGATTATGTCAAGGACTGGTTGAAGATTGATGTAGTTATTCAGGTATCACTTATTCACGGATCTTTTTTGAGCTCCCCATGTATTTTCTTCTATAATTTTCTTGATATTTTTTTCTGTTTCTTTTCATATACATTTTTGGCCACAAACTACTTGTTTATGTCCTTCTTTTTGTATTTGGTCCAGATGGGAAGCAGAATAACCAGCAAAAGAATCTGTCAAATTCTTGAGGAATGTGCTCCTTTGTCATATATTATGGTTGACAAGCATCCATTTCGGCATGATCCATCACATATTGTAACCCATCGAATACAAACTACCATCTTTTATTTTGTGGGCTGTTTACTCAAGGCTACTGTTCCTCATTCAAGGAGCATGTGGATCACTTCCCTACAATTGTTGAGTAAAATGGTATTTATTTAAAGTAATGAAAGTTACTTCTTGTTTGTGATATTGTTGAAATTTTTTACTTTTTACATCTAATCTGATAGTAAGCTGTCTAGTTTAGTATCACATAAAAATATTTCTACCAGAGCCAGTATTTATTAAAATGTTGTTGGAATGGCATTCTGTTGAGGTTTTAGTTTGCCTGTTAATCGAGCCTTGACATTGGATATAGCTATAGCCATTTTCTTGTAAACTTTCTCTCACTCAGACATCTTAATTTGCAGGTTGAATGGCAGATACAATTTCAAATCACTGCTGAGTCCTCCCTAACTGAACCTTATGTTGCACATGTGATGTCAGAAGCTCTTTCCCCCGAGTCTGCTCTTTTTCTTGGTAACAGTATGCCTATTCGTGATACAGATATGTATGGGCATAGTTGGCCCATACACAGTCATAATGTTGCATCTCTTATGCTAAATTCAGACATACCTATTGCCTTGATGAGGGTGACTGCTAACAGGGGGGCTAGTGGTATTGATGGGTTACTTAGCACGGCCATTGGTTTTGCTGTAGGATGCAACAAAAAGGTAATCGCTTATATTTTTTGTAATTTTAGGTATGTTAGCTGCTGGTTGCTGTTAATAGTCTTTTGGAGAACTATTCTGTTAGTTTAAAATAGGTATTTTTTAGAATAAAAAGAGGATTCTCGATTGACTCATGTCATACATGAGGAAATAGCGAGTTTGGTGTATGTCCTTTGCTGTAGAACTATTTTTCTTTAAAAGTTGTTTAACCGTTTATATTTTGCTTCGGTATTTATACCATTTCTTACTTTATCTTCTTAACATTACTTTTATTTCATAATTTCATTCAGGTGTTTTGTGTAATTGGAGATATTTCATTACTGCATGATACAAATGGTCTGGCAATTTTGAACCAGCGGTAAGAAATTATCTTTACCAAATTTTCTTAATATTTTTATATGGCTTAAATCTATTGTTGACCCTTCAAAATATCACAATTTCTGAAGTTTCCGAACAAGTCCTTCATAAACTGTTTTTTCGTACTGAATAGTCATTTGTTAGTTTGTTACGTTATACCAACTCAAGTTCCTCTTGACATCCTTTGTGGAGACTTTTGTCCTACTCGACATTGCATGTAGCTGAGAATAACGGTGATGAAAACTCATTAGCTACACATATTTTGAAACTTCCATTGTGCCGTTTTTAGGAAGCAAGATTTCAACCAAAATCTCAAGTATTAGCTCAAACACAACAATCAAATTGGGATGATTCGGTTTGAGCTTCTGGATCACGACCTATTATAAGACATGACCTCCAAAATTCATACCGTCCCAACATAACATAGGGCATAAAGCTTGCTACGAAGGATTTTCCAAGCATTGGTACTAAAGCTTCACCTATGAATCAAACTTATGGCTGTGTATATCAACAAGTTTGTAGATACTTGAGGCGTGTTTGGGTAAACATCTTAAAGAAGTACTTATTAAATGAGTGCTCACCTTATAGACACTTACCATGAAATTTTTATAAAATCAAAAAGCTATCCTTGAGAGCTTGTTCAATCAAACTGAAAAAAATATGGACATGTCATAAACTATTATTGTAAGTTCTCTCAATCACATACAGAAGTGCTTTTGTCATAAGATAAACTGATAGGACTCAGTTAGTTGAGAAAGAATTGCCACGTGAGCGGCTGATTTACAAGGAATCAAGTGGACCCCAAGAGTGGAAAGTGTATTCTAGAAGGAAGGGTAAGAAGGGAATTGGTGGCTAGTTAGTTATAATATTGTGACGTGGCTTGAGTGAGGAGAGCACTTTGCAATCCATTTCCACGATATAAGGGATCAGAGGGAGAATGTAGATCTTACCTTGGATTATAGTGATTTACTAGCATGAATAGGGAGCTATAGCTTCCTATTAGGAGCCTAGCTCTTGTCAGATCTAGGGTTACATTCCCTTTTCTGTAACTGTTTCCCATTCATATTCACTAAAATAAAGCTCTCTTTTCCTCTGTTTTCTGCTTGTACTGTTATATTACTACAATTCTGTGTTTTAGTTCGTATCAAGTGGTCCGACCTACCGGATTCCGACGAAGGAGCCAGTGAATGCCACCAAAAAAAGTGACGTTAACGGTGTTCGCAAAGATGGAAGCCAGGGTCGAAGCGTTAGAGAGTGAGATCACAGAGGTGCGTTCAACTCTCGTCGAGATGCAGAACTCAGTAACGACAAACCATGCTAATCTGATAGCAATGTTAGAGAAATGCTTGGGTAAGTCGTTGACCGTAGACGAAGGAGATGCGAGCGTGTCCGGCAAAGGTCCAAAGAGTACGGTTGTCAACAACCGTCATGGAGAGGCGTTGACAGAGTATCGCCAATCCGTGAAGAAGGTAGAACTGCCGTCGTTTACCGGAGAAGATCCGGCGGGATGGATCTCACGGGCAGAAGTGTATTTCCGCGTCCAGGACACGATACCAGAGATGAAAGTGAGTTTAGCTCAACTGTGTATGGAGGGAGCAACGATTCATTTTTTTAACTCTTTGCTCGGAGAGGAAGAAGGGTTGACCTGGGAATCGTTGAAGGAGGCTTTGTTGGAGAGGTATGGAGGACACGGGGAGGGTGATGTTTATGAACAGTTGACGGAATTGAAGCAAGAGGGAACGGTTGAGGAATATATCACAGAGTTTGAATACCTAACGGCACAGATACCGAAGCTACCGGAGAAACAATTTCGTGGGTATTTCTTACATGGGTTGAAGGCAGAGATTAGAGGAAAGGTACGTAGCTTGGTGGCAATGGGGGAAATGAGCAGAACAAAATTGCTCCAAGTCACAAGAGCTGTGGAGAGAGAGGTGAAAGGGGGAAACGGGTCAGGCTTTCATCGTGGGTCTAGAGCTGGTTATAACCCATCTCATAATGGGTCATCAGGAAGGAAAGCTGCATCTGATTGGGTCATGATAAGGGGGAGAGATGTTGGGCCACATGGGGGTGTCAAGAGTGGAGTAAGTGGGCTCAAAGGAGACAAACAGGCCCAAAATGAAAAGAAACACACTGGGCCTCGTGATAGGGGTTTCAAACATTTGTCTTACAATGAATTGATGGAAAGGAAGCAAAAGGGCTTATGTTTTAAGTGTGGAGGCCCATTCCATCCTATGCACCAGTGCCCAGAAAAACAACTAAGAGTTTTGGTTGTGGAAGAGGGTGGAGATGATGTGGATGAGACCAAATTCTTGGCTATAGAGGTGGATGAAAGTGATGAAGAGGAGAAGGGGGAGATGAGTGTACTTAACTTGCATCACATTGCACATAAGACTCATCATACTATGAAATTCCAAGGAACAATACAAGGAGTAGAGGTATTGATTTTGGTGGATAGTGGGGCAACACATAATTTCATTTCTCAAAAATTAGTGCATCAAATGGACTGGCCAATTGACACTACCCCTCAAATGACGGTCAAATTGGGGAATGGGTTACAAATAGCAACACAGGGGGTGTGTAAGGGAATGGAAGTGTGTATTGATGAATTCAAATTAGACCCAGAAATGCATTTATTTGAATTAGGAGGAATTGATGTGGTTTTAGGCATTGAGTGGCTTAAAACATTGGGGGATACTATTATTAATTGGAATAAACAAACTATGAGTTTTTGGAGTGAGAAGAAATGGGTGACTCTTAAAGGACAGGAGGGGTGCAGGAAGCCTACAGTAGCTTTGCAAACTGTTCTCAGCAAGCCCAGGCCCAATATGCAAGATTTATTGTGGATAGTAGAGAAAACAAAACCCAAAGAGGCTGAAAAAGGTCCGTTGCCTGTCCAACAACAAAGGGAGTTAGAAGCATTATTACACAAATATGATCAAGTGTTCCAAACCGTGCTAGGCCTTCCGCCGACAAGGAACAAGGAGCATGCGATCAACCTTGTGGAAGGACAAGGAGCCGTAAACGTGAGGCCGTATCGTTATCCCCACCATCACAAGAATGAAATTGAGAAGCAGGTGAAGGAGATGTTGGACACGGGGATCATTCGCCACAGTACGAGTTCGTTCTCAAGTCCGGTGATTTTGGTGAAGAAGAAGGACTGCACATGGCGAATGTGCATTGATTATCGCGCTCTAAATAAGATCACGGTACCTGACAAATTTCCTATACCGGTGATCGAAGAGTTATTGGATGAGTTGCATGGAGCTACGTTCTTTTCGAAGTTAGATTTGAAATCGGGGTACCACCAAGTGAGGGTGAAGGAATCTGATGTGTACAAAACAGCTTTCAGAACACATGAAGGGCATTATGAGTTCCTTGTGATGCCGTTCGGACTCATGAATGCGCCGTCAACGTTCCAAAGCCTAATGAATGATGTGTTTCGCCCTCTGTTAAGGAAGCATGTGTTGGTCTTCTTTGATGACATACTTATCTATAGCAAGAGCTGGGAGACTCATTTGAAACATTTAGAAGAAGTGTTGAGTTTGTTAGCTAATCACAGCCTAGTGGCTAACAAGAAAAAGTGTTTTTTTGCCCAACAAAGTGTGGAGTATTTGGGGCACATGATTACTGAGCACGGTGTAGCCGTAGATCCTGGAAAAGTGGCAAGTGTGACTCAATGGCCACAACCTAAGAATGTAAAAGGGGTGAGAGGATTCTTAGGACTTACAGGTTATTACAGGAAGTTTATAAAGGATTATGGGAAAATTGCTAGACCATTAACTGAGCTGACCAAGAAGGACAGTTTCAAATGGGGAGTGGAAGCTCAGCAAGCCTTTGATGAGTTGAAGTGGAGGCTTACATCAGCACCTGTGCTAGCTTTACCAGATTTTTCAAAGAGTTTTATGATTGAGTGTGATGCTTCAGGAGGAGGAATAGGGGCGATATTGATGCAAGATAAGAAACCAGTAGCATACTACAGCAAGGCCCTTGGGGTGAAGAATTTAGCAAAATCGGCCTATGAAAAAGAATTGATGGCAGTAGTTTTAGCAATCCAGCATTGGAGACCATACTTGCTGGGGAGAAAATTTGTAGTATCAACTGATCAAAAAAGCCTCAAACAACTACTGCAACAGAGAATTGTAACTGCAGAGCAGCAGAACTGGACTGCTAAATTATTGGGTTATGATTTTGAGATTGTGTACAAACAGGGTAAATTGAACAAGGGAGCCGATGCTTTGTCCAGAATTCATGAGGGAGGGGAGTTAGCTACCATGAATTACCAATGGAGATGGCTGCATATGGAACAGGTTAAAACAGAAAACCAACAGGATGAAAGGTTGCAGAAAATAATAGAAGAGGTTCAACAAAATGCAGAAACATGGCCTGGGTATGAGTACAAGCAAGGTGTCTTAATGTATGAAGGTAGGTTGGTGATTTCCAACAATTCTTTGCTAATTCCTACATTGTTAGAGGAATTCCACTCAACACCCCAAGGAGGACATTCGGGGTTCTACAAAACTTATAGAAGAATTGCGGCTAATGTGTATTGGACAGGCATGAAAGGAACCGTACAAGACTTTGTAAGAAGATGCGACATTTGCCAAAGACAGAAGTACATGGCTTCATCTCCAGGAGGCTTGTTACAACCTCTACCCATTCCTCATCAGATATGGGATGATTTATCGATTGACTTCATCACCGGGTTGCCAAAGTCAAAAGGTTTCGAAGCTATTTTAGTGGTGGTGGACAGACTGTCAAAGTACTCTCATTTTATCCCTCTGCGACATCCATATACAGCTAGGAGTATTGCTGAAGTATTTTGTAAGGAGATAGTCAAACTCCATGGCATTCCTCTGTCCATAGTAAGCGATAGGGATCCCATTTTTATGAGTAGTTTTTGGAGGGAGATGTTCAAACTGCAGGGAACTAAGCTGAAAATGAGTACCGCATATCATCCCGAATCGGATGGGCAGACAGAGGTGGTTAATAGGTGTTTGGAAACCTATTTGAGGTGTTTCATTGCAGATCAACCTAGGACATGGGTATCGTGGATACACTGGGCTGAATATTGGTTCAATACAACTTTTCACGCTGCCACCGAGAAGACACCATTTGAGGTAGTTTATGGAAGGCCACCTCCAAAACTAATTCAATGGAGTCAAGGAGAGACTAGAGTTGAAGCTGTGCAGAGAGAATTATTGGACAGAGATGAGGCTTTGAGACAATTAAGGAACCAATTATTGAGAGCACAAGAGAGGATGAAGAGTCAAGCTGATAAGAAACGCACGGACAGGAGTTTTGTATGTGGAGAATGGGTGTTTGTCAAGCTTAAGGCTCATAGACAGCAATCAGTAGTGACCAGAATTTGTGCGAAATTAGCAGCAAGATACTACGGTCCTTATCCCATTATTGAGAAGATAGGAGCAGTGGCATACAGACTGAAGCTGCCCGAAGGGTCCAGAGTGCATCCTGTTTTTCATGTTTCATTATTGAAGAAGGCTGTGGGGAGTTATCACGAAGAGGATGAGTTACCCGAGCTATTGGAGGAACATATTGAAGTGTATGAACCAGAGGCGGTACTAGCCACTAGGAAGGTAAAAAAACAAGATGAAGAAATAAGGCAAATCCTCGTACACTGGAAAGGCAAGACAGCAGAAGAAGCAACTTGGGAAGATGAGATAATGATCAGAAGCCAATTTCCAAAGTTTGGCCTTGAGGACAAGGCCATTGCGGAAGGAGAGGGTATTGATAGGACTCAGTTAGTTGAGAAAGAATTGCCACGTGAGCGGCTGATTTACAAGGAATCAAGTGGACCCCAAGAGTGGAAAGTGTATTCTAGAAGGAAGGGTAAGAAGGGAATTGGTGGCTAGTTAGTTATAATATTGTGACGTGGCTTGAGTGAGGAGAGCACTTTGCAATCCATTTCCACGATATAAGGGATCAGAGGGAGAATGTAGATCTTACCTTGGATTATAGTGATTTACTAGCATGAATAGGGAGCTATAGCTTCCTATTAGGAGCCTAGCTCTTGTCAGATCTAGGGTTACATTCCCTTTTCTGTAACTGTTTCCCATTCATATTCACTAAAATAAAGCTCTCTTTTCCTCTGTTTTCTGCTTGTACTGTTATATTACTACAATTCTGTGTTTTAGTTCGTATCATAAACACAAATAAGCTCTTTAAAACGCAATTAGTTTGTAGTTGCCAATGAAGAGGCCAAGAATTATGGATGCAGGCAATAAAGAGGCTGGTTTTGGGGTTGTGATGGCAGCAAGCAAAGTAGGGAAGAATCCAGGACTTGAGTGCTGGGGTTCTAGAAGGTGATGTAAATGGAGCACAATTGTAGATGCAAAGTAAGCTTCATTGACCTCTTGCCACAGTAGCATAGTCTCCGATCTAGCTTTGTATTGTTACTTGATATACTAGTTGCAATTTACATAGCTTGTCACTAATGGTTTTGAGAATATTAGGGTGTGTAGAATATAGGATGAAATTTGAGAATTTTTCTACCACACCCAGAAGATGATAAGCTACAGAAGCCTGCTCATCAAAATGTCGATTGAATAAAATACCTTATAGGATCAAAGTCTCTTCAAAGGACTCCACTTGCACACGGAGAGCTAATAAAGACCATTTACTAAGGAAAAGACAATATCTAATGGACATGTTTGGAAAAAATTTAAAATGGGGGACCAAATTGAAAACTTGTGATATTTTCCGAGACTAAACAAATTTAATCCTCTTATGTTAGTTTAATTATCCTGTTGGAAATGCAAATTATTAGTATATTATTATTATATATTTTACTGATTGGTAGACAGACACATTCATTCATTGTACAGGCAGTAATCTATCAAATTATATGATTAATATTTAACATAAGTAGGAACTAGGATCCATGTATTTATTACTACTTTATATTCAGTATTCAATGTTTAGTTGATACACTCTTTACACCAAATTATACTTCTCTTTTCTCTAGCTTAACACAATCGTACCATCGACAAGCAAGAAAATAAAGATTAAACCTTTGGGTGCATTTGATTTTTCTTTTTTCAATTTCATTTTATATTTTTCCAAGGTAGTTAAAATCATGAAAGCATGAACCAAAGTGATACCTTTGCAATTATTGAAGAAAACAAATGAATTGAAAATAAAACCAAAAAAATATGATTGCATCCCCTTTATACGGTGGGTTTGATTAGGAGCGGATGCATGTAAATGTCTATGGGAGCAATTGCCCTTGCAAAGTAATTTTGTTTTTGTACCCATAAAAAAATAGGTTTTGCCATGCATTTTTTTTTAAATGATTGTAGTAATTTCTAAGAGATAAGAAAGAGAATAAATTGATATTAATTTTTAGCACTCTTCTAGAGTTGTTTATCGGCCATGAATTTTGTAAAGAATGACATGCATGCAATCATATAGAACTAATAGAAGACACACCGTTGAATGATTGCTAGGTTAAAAATACAGGCAAATATTTTTTTATATTATTGACATGAAATTATCATACAACATTTTTGAAATATGAAAATACATAAAGGGAAATTGTAATTTGTAGAAGCTTAGGTGTTTTGGATTTTCTGTAAAAATCTTGTGGACTATTTTCTTGTCGCCATTAAATTTTCTTTTGGATCCGTCTTTGGGTTTAATGTAGTTTTTTAGGGATATGATGTTTGCAAAATAGTATGAAACGTTATTTTTAGAGATAAAATTGAAAGTCCGATTTTTATTCATAAATGATTAATTATTATTTTTTGGTATTCTCAGATTTGAATAAAGCTATATATTGCCACTTCTACTTGAAAGATTGCTAGATAATATTCTGAAAATGTGTCAACTTGTAGGATTTTGCGGAAACCAATGACAATTCTTGTGGTTAATAACCATGGAGGCGCAATTTTCAGTGTTCTTCCTTTGGCAGATAAAGTTGAACACAGTATAATGCATCAATACTTCTACACTTCTCATAACATTTCAATTCGTGATTTATGCTTGGCACATAGGTATTGATTTTAATATTCTAATAAAATTTTGTATATTGATTATAGGGTATATCCTTCCCTTAATTTGTTATTCTTTATGTAATTAGCGCTACTTGCTGTTCTATATTTAATTGTTTTGGGTAGGAAAAGCAGAATACATTCAGGTGGAGTATTATAATTATATATTTTGCTCTTGCACTGTGGTCGTTATCGGAAGCAAATTTTGGTATTCTGTTACTGACACCTGCTTTATATATTTTTTTACTGAAATGGGAATAGTGCAAATGAGCTTATTAGATTTCTACTCTAGCCTTAACTTTGAAGATAATTTTGGGATGGGAGGTTTGTTATTGAACCAGAGCTAGTACTAGTGAAATCATCTGTTTCTGCTCTAACCAAGGATTTCTCATATACATAGTCCATGCTAAGCCAATCCTATCTTTTCCTGAGAAAAATTCAATAAACTTGCAGTATCAAACATTTACATGTGAAGACAAAGGCGGAACTCGAAGAAGCTCTTTATGTAGCTCAACATGAAAAAATGGATTGTTTGGTTGAAATCGAGAGTTCCATTGATGCCAATGCCAATTTTCACAGGTTGATAGAGATCATGCTTTTTTAAGATTCTGTTGAGTTCATTTATTATCACCTCTATGCTGACACCTTTATATCTTGACTCAGTATTTTGAAAAAAAATGCTTTCCAAACTGCACAAGACACCATAAGATTCCTCTCGGTTCCTTTCAATCGAGACTCTATAAAAGATGAGTTCTGTTTCCACAAAATTCAGAAAATACAGTGTTCAAAATATAGGTGAGTCTTCATATTAGGCAGAGACTCTAATCCCCTCTTATTTATTTCAGAAATTGACAATAATGTTTATTTCCTTTGATTCTTTTCCTTGGATTGTATGTGTTGATTCTTTGGCAGATTTGCACTAAGTGCCCCATCAACATCAGCATCTGTTGGTGATAGTTGTAAAGAATTTTATAGAGAAGGATTTATTTTATCTTTAATTCTTGAAGATGGAAGTGTTGGTTTTGGAGAGGTTAGTGTCAGATTGCTATACATATTTCCAATCTGATTTTTCTTCAATGTTTTTGTTTAAGTACGTTCTACATAGATAGAAATAGCTACAGGGCAGTGATGTATTTTACAAGCCATTTTAATGGCTTGTACGAATGTGGGTTGCGAAGAATGCTAGAGACAAGAAAAAGAGCATAACATCTTAGCACTTGTTAGCATTTTCCATTTATATTTTATATTGAGTGGTCCTTGACTTTAATTTATTTTCCATTGTCTCTGTATGTAATGACTCTTCTTTTCTTTGTTATTCAAATCCTTTTTCTTTTTCCTGTAAATTTTCTTAAACTCCCTACCACTACCTGTTGATATATTATTGGTATTAAGCAGGTTGCACCTCTTGAGATCCACAAGGAAAATCTTGTAGATGCTGAATATCAACTCAGGTTTCTTATCCATGTCATGAAACAAGTTGATATTAGTAACTTCCTCTCTCTATTGAAGGGCTCATTTTCATATTGGATATGGAATGAGTTGGGCATCTTGGTAAGCTGTCAAATCTATATTATTAAGGCAAGAGCTAGAGATATTCTAAATAAAAACCACTCATGGACTTGGACCTAGATCTTAAAACTTTAGGTGGTGGGTTCCTTGATGTGGTATGGAATTCTTCGCTAACTAAGTGATTTTGTATAAAGATATCTAACATGGAAAAAACTGAGTATTACTACTATTTCTGAATATTTTGAAACTGAGTGAGATGCTAACAAAATACAGGCTGACATTCTTAAATTAAACTTCATTTTTAGCTTCTGAGATTTTGTCTTACTAATTTACAAATACAAGTATGCAATTGTTGCCAATTAGAATGCTAGCAAGATCTTGAAACCTTTATGGAGAAAGCACTTCCATGAACATATCTACCAATTGAACATGTATTCTGCTAATATGCCATTTATTCAATTTGTACTTAATGAAGTGTCATTCTATTTTAATATGTTCATTCCTATCGTGTTAAACCGAATAATGAGCAATGCTATAAGTTCCTTTGTTGTTACAAAGAAGCCTCACATGAATTTCATATTTAATTCTAAGATCATCCAATATAATCTTCAACTACTAACTAAGATTCCTTATATCGTATCTCGTGATTTAGCTTCCAAAATTGACTAAGCCTCCATTTTTTCTTACTCCTCCTAATTACAAATACAAATAACATTGGCCTGTTTTGAAATTGTATTAGTACATATTTGAGTAGAAAACTTTCCTTAATGTTAGGTAAACCGCTTTCTTGATAGTAGCATATCAAATTAATAGAACAGAATCATATATTCTTTATGTTGTTATTTTCTGTCATGCAGCCATCTTCTATTTTTCCCAGTGTCAGATGTGGTTTGGAAATGGCTATCCTCAATGCCATAGCCGATTCTAAAGGTTCCAACTTGTTGGACATACTCAATCCCTCAACAAATGTGAACAGAAAATGTGAAAAGCCATCAGAAGTTCCTATTTGTGCGCTACTTGATTCAAATAAATCTGCAGCTGAAGTAGCTAATATTGCTTCCGCATTAGTCAAGGAAGGATTTTCTGCAATTAAGCTGAAGGTGAGCTAGTCTGTCATTGTTTGGTTTCCGATAGATATACTGTCATTTGTTTTCTACATTTTATAGAATTAGTGTTAGGGGAAGGTAAAAGGCCAATATGTTAAAATGCTATATAACTACAGGTAGCACGTGGCCGTGATCCAGTGCAAGACGCCACAGTAATACAAGAAATAAGAAAGAAAGTTGGTTGCCAGATTATTATCCGCGTAGATGCAAATCGAAACTGGACTTATGAGGAAGCTATGAAATTTGGCTCTTTGGCTAAAGATTGTAACCTGCAGTATATTGAGGTAGACCAAGGAAATAAGACATTTTCCATAGTTCTTGGACTTACAAATGCATACTTTCTTTATACTCCCCACTAATTTATTTCTTAATAATGCATGTATGCGACTTCTTAAAACTTGATTCCAGTGTCCCCTTTACAGGAACCTGTCCAGGATGAAGATGATATTCTCAAGTTTTGTGAAGAAAGTGGATTACCTGTTGCCCTAGATGAAACCATAGATGAAATTCAAGAAAATCCCCTGAAAAAGCTTTTGAAGTTTACTCGTCCTGGAATAGTTGCTGTTGTAAGTAAATAAGAATCTCCGTCGGGTATTATGGAGCCGGGTTACTTTAAGCATTTGGTGCCGATACTATATTTGTTTCTTACAAAATCCGAATAGTAAAAATTAGATAAAAAAGGGGTAACCCAGTGCACGAGGCTCCCATTTTATGGGCTCTGGGGGGGTTGGATGTACGCAGCCTTATCCATGTTTTTTATAACAGAGAGGCTGTTTCCAGCAGGGTTCAAACCTATGACCCCAGGGTCGCAATGGAACAACCTTACCGTGGAACAAAATCCGAATAGTAAAAATTAGATATCAAAATTAAATGCCTCTTTTTGGTAGAATTGAGATGATAATAATAGACTACTTATATGGGTTGGCTATGTATTCAGGATTGAGGAAGGCTGTAGATTCATAGGATGAGTTAACCACAATAGTTTTGCCGTGCTATCTATAATCCCTGGCTTTTTTTAGGCTATAGATATAGCACAAACTAAAATTATTATTATTATTATTATTATTATTATTATTATTATTATTATTATTATTATTCAGAATTTTTTTGTTGATTTCTTAGGTTATCAAGCCAAGTGTTGTTGGTGGATTTGAGAATGCAGGATTAATTGCACAATGGGCGCACCAACATGGGAAGATGGCCGTTGTCAGTTCTGCATTTGAAAGCAGTTTGAGTCTGTCTGCTTATACTCAGTTTTCTAGTTATCTTGAAATACAGAGGTTAAGTACATTTAAACTGTTCGATGTTAAGGCAGCACCTTCTGTAGCTCATGGTCTAGGAACCTATCGTTGGCTTAAAGAAGACATAACGCTTGATCCTCTTTTGATTGGTCGTAATCCACGTAGTGGTTTGGTCGAAGCATCTGTGGAAAATGCTAGTCGGTTGCTACAGAATTTTCAAGTCGACCAGAATGTCATCTGTAATATTATTGCTGAGGAGAAAGTTTGTCGGTACCAATTGAATGTAGAGCATAACAATTTATCTTGTGCTTTTGAAGTTTGTGAGACTGGTCTCAAAACAAATGTAAGTAAAGAAATCTCTTTACATATTAGCAATTGCTGCATTTAGTTTGTTGATTATAATTCTTGGGATTATCATGTCATTAGATATATAGTTAGTTCCAAGCAGCTCTGGAACCTTAACATTCTAGGAAAAACAAAGTCCTGAGATAGTTTATTAGGATTCGTTTAAACTTTAAAGCACTAGTCCTTTGGAATCTTCACCAACGGCAGAGCATGCTCTTGAAACAAACCATGTAAGATATTTATTCTAAAAAACTATAGGGCATAAAATTTGTGAATAATGTGAAGTAGAATATTATAGTGGAAGTCTTTGGATTCCTAATATGTTGCAAGAGCATAACTTACACTCTTAAATGTCATATAAGATGTGATACATTAGTTATTGAGACCGCAAATAAGGATGGGTGAAAACACTAGTTTTTTATTCCTGTTATTAGATTATATTACCATATACTGCAAAAGATTAATTTTTTTATACAAGCTCAATGATGTATATACGAAATGAGCATATGATATGTTGTTGTAATGAATGGAGTAGTATGGCTAAATTTTAAATCCAGACTTTTTACCTTCACTTTCGCATTAGTTATTAAGGCGAGTTTACGGCATAGATATGTAGAATACTCCATCTTGTATGTTTTTACCCGGAAGTAAAATTTGATTCCTACATACAGATCTGACTTAGCCAGGTTTGGTTAATGTAGGATAATATACTAGTCTTTCTTCATGGCTTTCTTGGAAATGGTGAAGACTGGATTACTATCATGAAGACCTTTTCTGAATCAGCAAGATGCATTTCAATTGACCTTCCTGGTCATGGAAGATCAGTACTACATGGTGTAGAATGTGCTGCTAAGGAACCACAGTTGTCTCTGGAGATAGTTGGCGATATATTATATAAAGTAATTCATCATGTAGCACCAGCTAAAGTTACACTAGTTGGGTATTCAATGGGAGGTAGGATCGCATTGTATGCGGCACTGAGATTTAGCAGTAAGGTATAGTAGTGACATTCAATGTTATTGTTTTGATGTTTATATAACCACTGGTCAAACCATTTGAACATTTATGATGCAGATAAAGGGAGCTGTGTTAATATCTGCAAGCCCTGGACTAAAAGATAAATTGGCAAGAAAAATTCGTGCAGCTAAAGATGATTCCAGAGCACGCTCTGTCATTGCACATGGTTTACAGCTTTTTCTCAGCTCCTGGTATGCAGGAGAGCTGTGGAAAAGGTTACTTGTCTGTTCGTTACCTTTAGATTGTGCAGTGATTTTTGTTAATTTTACTATAATTATATAACTTATTTCTTCTGTAACGTCTCGACTGTTTTTAATCATACAGCTTAAGAAGCCATCCTCATTTCAACCGTATCTTTGCCAGTCGCTTGCAGCATAATGACGTACAGAATCTTGCACAGATGCTGTCTGGATTAAGCATAGGAAGGCATCTGTACGCTAATTAACTTTTAACAAACTGTTCATTCCTTAGCCTTTAGTATCTCTTAGATTTGTTAAAACAATATGCATAGAAAAATTGAAAACATGAAAATAACATATATTATATGTAGCTTAAATCAATTGATCCATGCACGTCCTCTATAAAATAAATTAAAACAAAAAAAAAGTACTAATGCACTACAATTCAACCCAAGTGAAAAAATGTGACACAACAATCCATATCATACTCATCAAAGATCTAACATATAAGTCTGTCCATGTAATCAACATCCTCCACCGTTTCATGATCTATTTAAAAATGCAATTTACTGGAAGTTAAAGTTCTAAAGTTTGCAGAATCTTTTATTACCTATGTGAAATTTTTACAACCATTGCCTCTGATAATTCTGTTTCTTCTGAACTTCAAAGTTTTCTTAAATGTTAAACTTGTCTGATGACTGTTTTTCTGGAGACAGGGTTTTTCTCTTTAACTATCTTGATAAATCTCTGTATGGCAGGCCTTTATGGGAAGATTTACTGAATTGTAAAGTACCTCTTCTTATCATACATGGAGAAAAAGATACAAAATTTAAGAAAATTTCTCAAGCAATGATGAATACATTATGCTCTGACTTGAGGAGCAATCCTGAGAAACGGAACTACACACATGAGGTTGTTGAGATTCCTAACTGTGGGCATGCTGCCCATTTGGAGAATCCTCTTCCTGTCATTGCTGCCTTGAAACAATTCATAACAAAACTATAGAAAGTATGTTGGCCAATAAGATGATCAAATTGCAACAATTATGACACATAACCATATATGTTTTTTTTCCACATGTTTCAATTTTTTTTACAAATGCTATCTTAAATAGTTACATTGTGAGGAAGGATAGAGTATTTGGTACTGAGGGAGCAATGTTTGAAATATTTCATGGCACACCCATATGGAGGCACTTGCTTAGGTGTGCGCGGTTGTTAATGTTGCAAGTTTATTATCATGTAATTTGTAATGATGTATGTGTATTTTAGTATGATTGTTACTACTTTCACCACCATGAAATGAGGCATTTTTTAAATAGTGAAAAAGAGAGAACAGTAGCATAATGTATTGTTTGGTTTGGGAAAGAAAGTGAGATAATTTTCTGGTTGTTTTGTATAAGAAAAATGGGAGGAAAGAAGTATAATAATTTTATCTTTTATTGTTTGATCGGATAGAAAGAGAGAAAATGTATAAAAAGAAGGATCTCTTAGGGCATCTCTAGCGCTGGTTGCTTCATTGATGATTCAGCATGTCTTAATTTTTTCACCATTGGAGCATGCAGTTGCTTATCTACATGGAGGTCTAAGAGCATGAATATCGGTGGTTAAGAATATAAAGCCATCCAATGTAAAAAAATAATAGTATTTAAATGCAATTGTTTTGATATCAATAATCCACCGTTGCCTTCTGCAGCACTGTGGCTTTGGCAGGTTTTGATAAATTTTTTCTACTTCATAGTATTAGTGGGATTCAATTTAAAACTTTAAATAGTGGTATGGATATTTGAAAGATGTATTTTAATCATTTATTGTCGGTTGTTTCCACAAACAACATTGCAAACACATTCCTTATCATAAAAAAAAAAAATTTATGACCAAAAGGGGAGTGGGTGGATGACATTACTATTATATAGTACACGTGCAAAACTTTACAATTTAAAATTTTCATAATTTTATAAATTTATTTTATAAATTTAATTTTAGCGATAGTCATCACACAATAAAATTTAATTGCAATATAACAAAATAATTACAAGTGTCTAATAAATTTGATTTTAAAGAAGGAAAAACGGTTTTAAATAAATTTTAAATAAAGTCCATTTATTTTAATTTTTTTAAATTAAAATAATGTTGTTTTGTTCAAATAAAAAAAAGGTAAGTATTTAACTCGTTGATTTTTTTAAATCGCCGATTTATCGATTTTGACCAATTTTAGTCGGTTTTCATTGATTCAATAGTTTGTCGGATCTAACCATTAGACTAGATTAATAATCTTTTTGATTCTCGATTTGATTAATTAGACTGATCAATCTGATCTGATTTTTAAAACACTGTGTAGAAGTAAACTTCAATAGACATGTATATTTCTTAGAAATATGGAGTTTGAAAAATAAAAGTAAATTTGGAGAGACACATTTCTTTAAAATATGGAGTTTGAAAAATAGCCTCCAACTTATATTTTTTTCAAAGAAACTCTGATTTGATATATTTTAATCTAATATTTTGAGATTTTTTTAGGAGTTGTTCAATCCACCTTTAGGGATGAAGAGTAACCATTTTAAAATTTAAAATTGTCCTTTTTAAATTTGGTAGTGTACTTTTGTACGCGTTTAAAACACACCACATTTATTTTTAAGCGAGTCTTCATTTCTATTTTGTTAAAAATTAGTTCGAAAATGTATCTCTGTATTTATGGAAGAGTAAATCTGTATGTATATTTCCGTAATAACCTTTGACACATTTTAAATTCATGATAATCTATTTATTTCACAACTAATAGAATAATTTTGAAGTATATTTCTCTCCAACTTATTTTCTTTCAAAGAAACTCCGGTTTGATTTATTTTGATATAATATTTTGAGATTTTTTTAGGAGTTGTCCTTCTCATCCTTAGGGATGAAGAGTCACCATTTTAAAATTTAAAATTGTCCTTTTTAAATTTGGTAGTATACTTTCGTACGAATTTAAAACACACCACATCTATTTGTAAGCGAGTCTCCAATCCTATTTTGCTAAAAATTAATGTATAAATGTCTTTATGTACTTATGGAAGAGTGAGTCCATATATGCACTTTCGTAATAACCCTCGACACATTTTGAACTCATGGTAGTTTATTTATTTCACAACTAAAAAAATAATTTGGAAGTATATTTCCGAAATAACCCTTAGATAGTAAATTTGTTATAAATTTGATATTTTTTAAGAAATCTTATATGTTAGATCATTTATTATATACTAATCAAAATAAATTTGTAATTAATTGAATCATACATTGATGTAATTCAATTACAATGTCATATATTAGAATCAATCTAGAATTCATAATCAAATCTCATTGTTAACAAATTACAAACATAATATAAATATGAGTTAAATATGTTTTTCGTCCCTATAATTTTCTTTTGAATAATAAATCTTCTAAAATTTTTCATCAATAATTTTAATTCTCACCGTCTGTAACACTTTGTTTCCACATCGATAATTTAACCAAAAATCAGAGTAAATTAATTTATAAAATAAAAACATCAAAAATAGGATGTCACATCTTCGTACATACACACATGCTCATATAATAAGGTACACAACACATAATCACATGTTCACCAAGTCTAAAGTTCATTTCATTTATTCGTAGCGGAAAAACATCAACAATAGTTATTCTTAATTCTTTAACATGACTTATAATTATCATAATTCAAACTTCAACACACATCATCAAATAATTCCAGCAAAGTAGAGTTCTACAATAGTTTACTCCCATCAAAATAAAACAAACGCAAAACCCCCAAGTGTTACGTATTAGAGCTGACACTGACTCAATCTACGCAAAATGAGGCACTTCTCAGCGAGCCTCTACCTCAAGCTACTTCGGATCATCTGCACGTTATCCACGTAGAGGCAACATTCAAACAAAAAGGGTGGGATATCACAACAATATAATAAGTTATATAATCATAGGTATACGCAGATATATCACGTAATATTCCAAGCTCAACAATCATCAATCATAATTCATAATGATTATACAAGTACATACATATTTATCATCATCTATCATACAACACATACCAACTATACAACTCAACTTCATCGTTATATCAAAAAGTCAATCAAATGCAATGCAACTGACGCTGATGCAAGATACATGTGGTACCAATAAGGCAGAACCCTCATCGTGATAATGCCAACTTAGAGCAACAACATCATAACACCAATACATGCCATCGTTCTTCAATACAAGTCATCATTCGCCAACACAAGCCATCATTCTCCAATACTGGTCATCGTTCGATAATACAAGCTATCATTCACCAATACATACCATCACTCACCAATACATGCCATCTTACAGAGCATAAGTCCTCACCATGAATGCATGTGACACCGACACACAACAACATAAAATGTATTGATATTACTACTCATCAATGCCACACCAATACAAGCCATCATCATCATTATCATCATGCAGTGTTTATGCAGTTCATTCATACATCATTCGTACAACACCATCATGTTCAATCACAACAATATGCATCACACTTCATACAACATTAGGCATAATGCTTCACCAAAATAATCATGTTTAATTCCACAACAACAATAATTCATCATTAAAAATAGGACATTCCTAATTAATCTATTATACAAAGTATTTACATACATTTTACAAAACAATATAACTCGACAACACAAAACACCCGTCTATACATTAAATAGTTGGAATTCTGATACTGGAAATATTTTTAAGAGAAAGTACGTTAAACCCATGTTTCAACGATCCAAACTATGCATCAATCGGATACCCGAAACTCAAGTTATGAGTTTTTGAAGTTTTACAAGATACCAACACCGACAACCTACAACAACATACACTGACACCATAAAACATATTTACACACCAATTAAACTTAGTTCCAGAACTTGAAACCATTTTTACAAGAAAGTACATTGTATTAGCTTTCCAACGGTCCAAACGGCACCCAAAACGGACTCGCGGTTTGAAAGTTATGAACTTTTGAAAAATTCATTTTTTTTCAATTTACTCTCGGGGTAACCGATTACCCAATATGTGGTACCCGGGTACACCCAGTCAAAATGCCCAGAAACACTTTTTTTTCACGCGGTAACTGATTACCCATATACTGTAACTGATTCCCACTGTACCAGAGTAAAAAAAACCTGATTTTTATGTTACGAAAATCATCATTTTCCAACCTAAAACCTCAATTTTTCTACATCAGAATACATAATCTAATTTATCACATTGTCATACTACATCTACTACATTCTAAATCAATTCACATCATCAATTACACATAATTTCAATAGATTAAATAAAAAACAATCAACACCCAAAACCTAACATTCAATATCACCATCTACCCACAATTATACCACCTATTAGAGAGTCAGAACTCCACCCTTACCTTAGGTTGTAGATTCCTTAAACTTCAGCAATGGTTCCTCTCTTACTAGCTCATCCTCTTTCTCACTTCTTCTCTTCTCTCGTTTCTACGATCGATCAAAATAAGAATGCTCTTCTATTCCTCTTGTTATTACTTATCCAGCCTTTGGACCCATAAATCATAAATCCTAACCTTGCCTTCACTTGTTCAACACAACGTTACCATCTTGTCCTTCTTGTCTTACACTATTATTCTCCTCATATTATTATAAATAATAATTTTAAATATTATTATTAAATCCAATTTAACCTCAAATAATTATTTAAGCTCTAAATAATTATAAACTAATTAAATCCTCATATTACTCTCATTCCCACACTACTTATAACATTACGTTCACCAATGTATCTACATGCATCACATAACTCACCATAACTCATATATTCACCAATAATCACCAGTATTCACATTAAATAAATTAAATAATTAATCTAGATTTTTGGGGTGTTACAACTCTTCCCTACTTAGGATATTTTCGTCCTAAAAAATTACCCGATGCAAACCACCCCGGATACGACTCTCGCATCCTACTT